CCCCTCTTCAACCCAAAAAGTAGTGAATTCATGAATAAGCAACACATTTTTTTAAATTCTTTTTTCAACAGTAAAAAATTTTATTGATTAAAAAAAAAATTAAACCATTTTAATGAAAAAAATTAAAAAAATTTTTTTTATGACATCTATTCCCACTATCAATTCAATTGTCTACTTCACCATCCAATTCTTCTGCTGAAAAATTCACAATACTCACAACTTCATCATTATTATCTTCATTGTTATTTTCATCTTCTGTTTCATATAAGAGATTATCTTCACTTCCATTCATTAAATTTGATATTCCACACTTTTTAAAAGATTTAATAACCAAAGATTCAGGTATTTCATTCCAACAATCAATAATCCATTGACACATAACACCATAATCAGGTTTTTTAAGATTTCCATTTTTTGTTAAACTAGCACTCCCACTTGTCATCCATTGATTCCATTTATTTCTAAGCTTATCTTTAAAAGGTTTATTGACACAGACATCTAATGGCTGGACAACAGAAGTTAAACCTCCTGGTATAATTGCTAAATCACATTTTGATTTTCTACAATTTTCTTTTACAAGTTCAGTTTTGTGCCCTTCAAATGAATCCATTACCAACAAGGATTTTTGATTAAAAGAATTGGGTCTGTTATTCCAGACTCTATCAATCCAAATTTTTGTCAATTCTTCATTCATCCATCCTTTTTCATTCATATATACAAAAATTCCATTTGGCAAGTTTTTAGGTAATCTTTTACCTTTAAATACAACAAATGGTGGTAATTTGACACCATTAGATAAAATACCTAAAACACAAGTAAATCTGTTTTTTTCATTTCCAGTGGTTCTAACATGCACAGTCTTTGAAGCTTTTAAATCAACTGTCATATTTCCAACCATATCAAAAAAAATGGGAGTTTCATCCATGTTACCTATTTGACATAAATCATAATTATTTTTTTTTCTCATTTTAATAATATATTTATGAAAATCTATAATTTTATCACTGAGCTGTTCAGGGAGTTTTTGTGAAATTTTCATTTTTCTTCGAAGAGCTAAATCATGTCTTCTCAAAAACCCACGAAACCACTTGTCAGATGCTTGGAATTTTTCAATTGCTCCAGGATAATTAGAAAAAAATTCATTTTCAAGTAAGTATTTCATTTGAGCTTTAATCGAAACTGAATTAACAGCAATTCCACTTTGTCTTAACTCCAAAATCCAAGCTTTTAATCGATTTTCTGCATCTGGATACAAAGCATTCTTACCTGAACCTACACGTTTATTT